TCAACAAATAGAAAGTGCAGTAGCCACAAACATTGGCCATGAAAAGTTTCTGTTTTGTAGTAAACTCTTCTATCTACAGCCACCAAATCTTATAGTGGTTGTTTAAGGAAGTGCCTTGTTTCACCTGAAGTTTCCCTAGCCAATAGAGACTGACCTAAATGCTGGGAACAATGGGAAATGGGTTCGGATAGTGAGGTGAAGAACTACTACAAATAGCAACCATTAAGGCAGTAGACTGTTGTAGTGGTTTAAGTTTGCCCTAAAAATAGAAGGGTTGAAAGAAATACTCAAAATGCATATCCTATGTTGGCCAACATGAGAAGGTTGAGAAGAACTGCTGCATATTCCTTATGTTTTCCATTGAACATGTTCTTTGCTTTGATTTTGAAACAATACGAAATTGAAAATTCCTCCAATCCACACAAGTTGGAGGTGCCACTTCCAATCTAGTTTGAACTTTTTTGCATAGTTGGTCAATTAGGCCATTGGAGTATGATTCTCTTCGCTCTTTTTTTTCCCTCCCCTTCCCTCCCTTCCTATTTAAACTATCACGGTTAAGTCATTTCAACATCTTATATTAATTTTTCATAAAAAGAGAGACAAATTAGAGAATGTGAAAGGAAGGAATGAAATCCTAGTCCATTTCCGATAGTTTGGCTAAGTGTAGCACCCTATGCCATTTTTAGCCTACTACATATGAATGTTTTGATGAATACTGCAGTGCTATATTTTTTATATTCAGTGATGCAGGGCTTAATAATATGAATTTTTTGTGGTGGGATTCGTTGCATTTTTCTGTTTCTTCCTATGGTGTGCCTTATTTTCTGATTATTTTGCACGTGATGGGCCACAATAAGATCAACAGAGATATGAGGATAGAGAGAGAAACGGAAGAGAGAAGACAGATATGATGATATTTGCATCACACCAGATCCGCGCCTCCCAGTTGCTCCGTGGTGAGCCGAGCCAACACCAACAATGGTGGCTCGGGCCTCCAACCAAACTACATTTAGCTTGGTCACCAGCTCTTGAGCTTGGAATCTTTTTTCAAGATTCCATTTAGCCCACATTAGAGATGGGTTTTTGTAAAAAAAATGGACTACAATGAGCCATTCGGCCAACCATAGAAGATGACCTTAGCAAACCCGGGTTAGACTAGTTAGGCTAAAACAGTGTGTCCGCTCACTTGCATCTAAACTTACATTTTTTATCCTGTATATTAGAGTATTTTATAGGGAACTTTAACGAAAAACTTCAAGCACTATTCACTTTAACGAAAAACCATATTTTTACACTAAAAAATCAATTATGGTACTATTCACTTTACCCTTATCGTTAAAACTCAAGTTTTCAAACTTTTTTCATTAGTTTCCCTTATTTTATAATAAGTTTGAGGTTGTTGAGCCATCAAAAGAAAGGGATTGCTTTAGTGGGTTTGCATTAGAATTGCTCATGTACTTGGAGAAAGCAAAAGAACCAAATCACTTTCCACTTGTTGCAAATCTAAATGAGAACCCAGAATTGGGTTCCAAAAGCAGAACTGGATTAAGATTGGGGATTGGATCTTTTACACAGTGCGTCGTATATGGGCTTAAGCTCATTGTGGATAGCTCCCAAAACGCAGAACAAATTATGGGCTTACGTACAAAGTGTAAGACAAATTATTGGACTAAAGAATTTAACCCAAGTTTAGAATTTTTTGTTACGGAAATAATTTTCGCACACTCTTTCTTCTTCACATATTTTTGATTTGATTATTTATGCCTCTTAATTCTCATTTCACTTATTCAATTTAAAGTCAATTAATAAGTAAGGATGTATAAGTGATAAAATGAACGTGTGAAATTACTTCCATTTCTTTACATAAACGATACTAAACGACGGAAAAATCAGACACAAGATCTTGTAATTGTCTAAGATCGAGACATTCACAAACACGAAGGGGACCTAGCAACTTACTTATTTCGAATGGTACTGAAATTCCAATTCCAAACTATCGTATTACAATTCCTCTTCCTCCTAATTTCATATGTTTACTAACATAAACAAATTACAAAATATATATAACACACATTTCAATCTTTAATCTCATTCTCAGTTCACATTTTTCATATTCCTAACGTCCACGATTCACGAATCCCTCCATTCTAAGTACATCACTAGAATTTTGTTTTGGCATATTGGCTAAAGTGGCACCGAGTGAATATAAAATCTGTATGAAGGGACATGGCTGGCCCCACGTCACGTAGACGTGGCCCAATGGTGGCCCGCCATGTTGAGTCGTGAGCGCCGCGAGTTGGTTAAAGTGGCACTGAGCGGTCAGAGTCAGAGAGAATCGGCACTGAGTCATCTGTTTCTGACTCGCTCCTTCTGAATTCTCAAAGCGATTGCTTCGACTCGATTCCTTTGTTTCTGTATTCTCCATCGTTTTCATCTTCCAATTAGAGCACTATTACCATTATGCCCCTCCACATTTACCATTATGCCCTCCACTGCATGTTCCACGCTCGCATTCTGTCATTTTCTTGTGGAAAATGTTTAGAATATTTTAGCATGTTGTTTGCACGTCTTTCTAAAGAAAATAAAATAAAATTTTGTGAATGCATACCTATTTTCACTTATCACGCACTTCTTTTAATTTTGTATAGTCGGATCGTAAAAATTGAAAAATATTAAAGAACAAAAATTAACAAAGAGAGTGTGAAATATAGCACCGCTATGAACAAGTCTCCCTCCCCTAACTAGCTCGCTATGATTTGGGAGAAAAATGAACAATTTTCTTTTCCAAAGAATATGGGGCTTGAAAGAGACTCTTAAAGTGAGATTTTTCAACTGTCACCTCACAATTTAATGTCAATTTTAGTGTAAACATTAGAAATATTGTGCAAAAAATATGAGATGACAAAGAATCTATAGAAAGTTTCACTTTAAAAGAGTCTTTTTAGCATTTCTCTTTTCTAGTATCGCCGTAATTTGTCAGTTATTGCATTAGAATCTAAATGAATACATTCCTTTAACGAGAAAATACAATATTTTCTCGATATTCAAATAAACTTCTTTAATATAGTTCAATAAATATAAAAATGTTTTGCAACCTAAATTTTTCCACAAGAGTGAAGTCATATTGTGAGACATGCACCAACTAAAAAAATGTGTGTTCATATTGTGAGTCATATTGATTTACATCACCAATATTTTGGCACGATACTTATTGATTTTTTAATTCAAAAATCATATCTAATAGGGTGGGTTAATTTCAAGAGTATATGTGTGTAAAACTTGTGAAATATGTATACAATCAGGCTCTTTAAGGAAAGGAATATTCATTTTTTTCAAAAAAAAAAAATAGGGACTAATTGTGGGACTCACTGTATATCGAATTTTAACTATCTAAACCGTCTATTTTATAAGTCCCGACTCATAGATCATTCTTGAAAAATTCAATTCAATCCAAAATCATTTGCCTATTTAATTGTCACTATGAAATTTTAATGTTTTTAGAACATATTGTTCGTAAATTTCTTTGAACTTTAATTAGATACTTCAAATATTTTTTATTTGACTATATTTTGTAAAGATAATCTATAAAATGTAATTTAAAAAATAAACAATTCGGATCGTTGAAGTTCAATATGGTGCGATCCTGCAACTAAAACTCTGGTTATAGAATTGATGCTTTATATCGAAGGGTAGGATAGTAATCTACCCCATCTTTGTCCTCTCCTGGAACAGGGACCCCTAATGGCTTTTACTATATTTATCACCATCAGGTTACGCTTCTGAGAAAGAGAGAAGGAAACTCTCCCTCTCTCTCTCTCCCCCTCCCTCCCTCCCTCTCTCTCCTCTCTCTCTCTAAAACTTCCCAATTTGCATAGCTCTTCTTCTTCTCCACTGTTTCACCACCAC